ATTATATTATATAAAAAAATATATATATATATATATATATATATATATATATATATATATATATATATATATATATATAGCATCACAATTTTATCCTTTAGATTTTGGGGAAAAATGTAACCTAGACTATCTTTATGAGAACTGAAATATACAAACAAAATATTATTTTCAAAGACTAAATATGCATATCATAAAATAAGTAAGTAAATAAATACTGTTGACATTAACCTTGGGAGTACTATAGTATCATTTAACTAGATAATCTGGTAATCATTTAGTATTTAGTCCTATTATCCACTATATACAGTATATGAAGGCAGTGTGGTATTCTGATCTGAGAGCATCTGACAGCGCAGGTTTTGTCTGATTCTCTCTGTGTCTCATACAGTAGCGGGTGAAGCTGAGATTAGGAGGCAGCGTTATCTAAATCTTGGATTCGGTTCTGCTGACACACTCGTAATCTATGCGGGGAGGAATGTCTCCTCCCACTCACAGCCGTCATCAGGACAAACGTATGAGGGAATGCTCCGGAAATCACAAGCTGCTGATTAATCATAGTATAAGAGATTTGTGGCCAGCAACAGCGTAAAAATACCAAAACTGTGGGGGAACTGAGCGATTTATATAACATCTGACTCACTCAGCATGAACTATAAAGAACAGATATGGTATGGGTTTCAATTTAGAAATTTTGCTAGTAAATTTATATTTGCTAGGAAATATATACACTTCATTCCCTCATATGCTTGTGCTCAGAAGCTGGTCACACAATTACAAAGAAACATGCAAATCTGTGGCAGTTACATATCAGATGGTAATGCTATGGTAATACTGTGGTACTTATTTTGACCAAACAATTTTCATGAATTTGCACAAGTTGAAAGAGAGAGGGAGAAAGAATGATCAAAGCATTTTCCAATATTACAAAATCAAGCATGACTATTTTTTTTTTTCAAAAACTGTCTTTTCAAGACATTTTCTTTTCAATTTACATTTTCCCCCATGATTATGTCAACTCTGACCATGATAATTCTATAAACTAATTTCAATTGAGTAGCTATCATGTGGCCTAATGTGTCAGACATATTCATCTAGCAAACAAACACACTGAAATATGGGGAATATCATCAGATGTGTGTTGGGACGTATGATATCCCTGCTAGGCAACTGCTGTTTTCCTGAGCAAACCAACTGCTGTCTTTCATCCAGATGTTGAGGGAAGTTCCTCCTCAACTTTCCTCTAAACTATAATTACAAAGGCACTTACAGAAGAAAGGAAAATCTTAAATAAAAATGCTTTGATGGTGGCAGCATTTTATCTTTACTGCACAAACAGAGAAGACCCTGCCTTGAAAACTAAAAGATAAAAACACCAACAGAACACAAAATGCAGTTAAGGCTCTAAATAAGTGTATCACACGCCTAATGCACTAAAAAGGGGTGAAGTTGTTTGAAATTCTATGCCAAATTATGTTCCTCACTGCCTGAGTGTTTTTTAAAAAAACTCCAGGTGTTCAACAAAGGCTCAAAGCAACTCATCAGAGGGAAATATTCCCCAAAAATAAAGCCAAAAGAAAGTGTTTTAAGACTTTTCCCATGTCTTTCATGAGGGTCACCAGTGTTTGAGATCTTACCTGCTCATGCTGCTGAAGTGAGGAGCCATGTTTCTGTCCCTCAGCGTGGATGTGGGAGTCTGAATGGATGCAGAAGTTTTGTCCTTTGGCCCAGAGATGTGTCGTCCCCCTCCAGTCCGTCTTCAGTGGTGCCCACAGGCCTCTCTGACTGAAGACGACCTGTGCAGGAGATGCCAAACCTTTTGGACACATTAAGTTTTTTTTTTGCAAGGGCGACCTGGCTTGGTTCCTGGCGTCCGATTGGCTGGGAGAGAATCGAGGGGTGGTGGCAAGGCTTTTTTACGACTGATGTTTAAAGGAGATGTTGAGCCTCGGGCGTTACTCGAGCACCTTTTTTCATTTCTGCACACTGTGCACAGGAGCTAATAACACATGTTGAGTGGCGGTAATTCTGCTGATGGGAAGCCCTACTGCAGGGAGAGCCTGTCATAAACACAGTTAGATTGTGTGTATATAACACTGGTTAAAAAATACGTTCAGCATCCCACCTGACAACCATTATTCACGAATCACACTTCAAACTGTATGAATAAATCTGGGCTGATTGCAAAAAGGTTGCATATGCAGGTAGAAAAGTTGCTGCAAAATCTGGGAAGGTAGCATACTCCAACAGCGCTTCAAAAACCAAGTTTTCTCCAGGTAGACTGCCACTGCAATTCCTACTGTAGTGTTCCTTCACTTCATTTTGTCGCATTTTCTTCTTTGATTATAGGGGGAAATCTGAAGAAAGACAAAAAAAAAACATTTTAAAAATAGAGAAATAACAGTTAAGAAATAGTCAAAATAAAATAAAAATAAATAAAATAGTAGCTAAAAGGTAGCTATAAGCCCATACAACTGCAAATATTTAAGTAAGTAAATGTGAGCATTGTTTGTCCATGCAAAACTCAACGCTATAATGTTTTGCTTAGGTACTAGGTAGGGTTGCAAAAGGGCGGAAAATAATTGGGAAATTTCAAGAAAGATTCCAAAATTTTCCGCCTCTTTGCAAACCTTCTAAGACCTGATATTCTAGGATTTAGATCCAAGTCTATGGGTCCAATTGCACAATATGATGTATAATACATAAACTTAACTTGGCAACCACCATTAATTAACCAAAATACCTAATAAAAGAATACAAGCAGAACTTGGTGTTGAAATTCCGTGGAGTTTTCTGCAGAATTCAGTGGGTGCGGGTTTCTGGTCAGAGCCACTGATGACTAATGCTGAAGGATGTTGAGATAAATCTGTCAAATGGGACATATTGCATAACAAACCTCAATTTACATCCAAAATATGTGTTTAAACAATAAAGGGCAGCAAAAAATTTGACTCAAAAAGGCGAGGGATAAAAAAAGCAGCAGCAGTGCCAATCTTCCTCAGCAAATGGTGACTAACTGTGAGGGATGTTGAAGCACATCTCACAGATGGGACATATTGCATAATAAAACCAATAAAGTGTTTGTATGTTTATATTAGATTAGTCAGACTTGCTTTTGCTTTAGTCTCCTTATTGGATTATTAAGACAACTACTTTTTGATAATAGAGGAGACACAGCAGAGACTTTAGGAATTATTTCAAAAGTAAAGGAGATTGTAAAGCGTCTGTGAAGTCGATCTGTGTCGGCTTGCATGAGCTCCTTCACTATTAAGGTCTTGCCATGTAGCTTTGCCCTCATCAGAGGAGGATTCTGGGAAAGGAAATACTAATGACATCAAAACGGGTCTGTGAAAGCGACTTGCTCACATGCATGCCAGCCACAATGACTTCGGTTACATCAAATGTGTAATTTATACCTTACGAGAGAACTTAGGCTATCGCTGCAGGGCCCAGACAGAATCTGCATTTCATCTTAAGATATAGAATTCAACACCACCTTCATTCACGCCTTCAAAACCAGTTTTATCTGTTATAAAGGGATAAAAGAAAGCGAGAAACAGGTGAAAAAGTTATAGCATGAGCTTAAAGCAAAGAAATGCTGAAGCATGCATCATGTCCTCATAAAACACACGTTCAGGCTGTCATGGAACAGCTGGATAGCTGGTCATTAATTAAAGATTTTAGACACCAGGCAAAAAACTTGAAGAATGTGTGAACACTGCAAAATTATTGTGTCAGACTTTCTCTGGCTTCTTGTGTGCTGATAGTAAGCCACAGAAGAAGCAATGCTGCTAATACACGAGTGGAGACCGAGAGCATGTGTGGTCAATCAGTTCAGAGTGACAGCGCCTGAGGACAGGATTGAAATAGAATACTGACATGCTGCTTAATGCATACTGGATATGTATATTAATAGGTAAAATGTATGCATTATGCAGTGACTACGTCTTTAAACTACTGTTCAGTCTGGGGTAAAAAAAAAGAAAAAGAAAAAAGAAATGAATACTTTTATTCAGCAAGAATACATTAAATTGATTAAAAAAAAATAATAATTTTTAAAACAAATAAATGCCGTTATTTTTAACTTTCTATTCATTAAAGATTCCTGAAAAAATGTTTCATGGTTTCCACAAAAATATGAAGCAGCACAACTGTTTTTTTAAAAATTGATAATAAGAAAAAATGTTTCTTGAGCATCAAATCAGCATATTAGAAAGATTTCTGAAGGATCATGTGACACGGAAGACGTTAATTTTAACTGCAATAATGTTTCACAATATTACCGTTTTTACTATCATTTTTCATCAGATACATGCAGACTATTTATTTGAAAAACACAAAAAAGTCTTAAAATCATATTCTAAATTGTTGCATTCCTTCACTGACATTGCTGCCACATGACCTTCAACAAGTGACATTTCAAAAAACTGTGCATTTTCTTTTGTAAAAAAATATTTAAAATGGGGTATTATATACTGTATATATATGTGTGTGTGTTATTTAATTTATTATTATTAAAATACTTCCTCCTAATAGGAAGATAACTTATTTAAGGGTTGATTTCCGTCAAAAGTGTCAACCCCATGACTCTGTGGTGTTTTGAAAACAGACAAACAAACAAACAAACAAACAACTTTATCCAATGACAAATGGGTGAAGGAAACCTGTTTGAAGAAGTTCTTTCCATACAAT